CCCCCACACACACACACCCTCTTTCTCTAAATAACTTTTTTAAAGCCATGAGGAACCGAATCCTTTGACAGAGTCGTGTCTAGCTCTGTGCACAGGTGTGTGAAATTCCAGCATTGAATCCATCTTGATAAAACACCGTCCCCTGAAATCAAAGCGTTTCATACAATACGAGATGTCTCCTAAATTTAAACACTCTTTGGATTTTTTGGTTTCTTTCGTGTCGGCAATTTTTAAAATTCTTCTTTTTATGTTATAATTTTTTTATTATTTTTTTTTGGGGGGGTGGGGAATAGTTTGCTTAAGTGGAGTTTTTACGGCACTCGCATCTCCATAAGGTCATATGAGCGCCAAGTAAAATGATTACGAATTTGCCTGTAATTATTGCGTGTCCAGTGGCGAAAAGCGAAGAAGATAAAATACCTAACTGCTGACAAGGCAGTGATTGTGCAATTAAGGCGACAAGTGATGACAGTGCTGATAGTGCTGACTGCGATAGTGGCAATGTGGTGTAATTCTGGGACTCTGCTAATTTGGAAAAATAACACACAAAAAACCTACTCAGGCTTGACAGGATTGACACACGACCTGAACTTGGGCAGCTGAGAGGTGCATCGTAACACTACCACCTGCATACCAGTCATTCCTTCCCTCGCTTATCAGCGTCGCCAATGAGCAAGGACGACATTTGGTTCTTCTGTATATTATAACATTCCATCTTTCCAGTATCAGAAGCGTTTCTTGTTTCACCAGTATAGGGACCAAACGCGGCGCGACACGACGGACGGACCGCCATAGACTGTCACCGTGAGAGACAGAGGAGACAGCTGCAGTCGTGATCATACACTCGCAGAACGCCGAGGATTAAAAGTTTATCAGAACGCCGACCACAGCTTTGACAAGAAGTGAAAAAAGCAAAAACAAAACAAAATGTTTTTAAAAAATGTTTTAAAATGGGACAGGTTGCCTCTGGGTTGGATTGGGTTTGTTTGGGGTTTGTTTGGCTTTTGTTTTGTTTGTCTGATGGTTTTTTTCCCTCACATCCAATAACCTCTGAACTATGGACGGACGCGTTCATAGTCCAGCCTGTGGGTGGTTGGCGGGCGCTCTGGTGTGGTTTGCTTCTTCTTTCCTATCAATCAATCTATCGTCCTTATCTCCCCTTCTTCTTTTTTTTATTTGTTACTCTCCTCTTGTAACATCTCTAATCTTCTGGCGCTCATATTATGACTTTATGCAGTAGCGAGCGATGTAAAACCTCTACTAAAACTAAAAATGGTCATGTCTGGTCCAGTGACTCCTGCCTTTGACACGTCTGTCTAGGTGGATGGTTTGGGGTAGTTGTTTACAAGGCAGCGTTACTCACTTCTATCCATCATACTTGATTCTAGATTCTCTGCGTCATCTCGCTTTTGACCTCAGGGGATGAATTACCATAATAGTGTGTACATGTGTTTATGTTGGCAAAATGCCGCAATAAATGAGCTTCTGTATATATATATATATAAATGTATTATATACTTTTTTTTAAACAAGC